CAGCCTGGCAAGGAAGCCTGCCTCTGGGTTTTGCATTGTCTGCTCTGCAGCCGGGGACTGCTGTTACCTGTGGCTTCTGTGGTGGGAGAGGAAGGGGAGGAGTTGCGGTGGCGGCGGGGATGTGAGGCTCCCAGAAGCTCAGTTGGGGAGCACATGTGTTTGAGAACGTGCAAGTGAGCATGCGTGCGCGTACGTGGATTCGCATGAATGCCACGCCCAGCCAACCACCTCCTGTGCTAATGGACGGGTAGCCTTGTGGACCGGATGAGGGGAGCCCCATGCTGGAGGACTTGGCAAAGGTGGTCACGGAAAGTTGGGGCCAGCAGAAGTGGAGCAGAGTCGGGGGAGGAGAGAAGCAAGTCTCTGGGGCAGAGTGCTGGGCGAAGGCACCAGGCCGAGGAGTCCCCCAGAAGGGAACCACCAGGCCTAGCTTGCCGAGCGTTAGGGTGACCGGTGACAGTTATCACCACTGATACTTGCACCCAAAGGCCACAGCTCTGAGCCATCCTCACTGAGAGTCTGTAACACCCAACAGCGGGCCTCTGTTTGCTGAGTCATTTGTTCCCCCACAGGCTCGCCCCACAAAGACAGCTGCTCATAATAAAATTAGTGGCCATCGTCGCCACCACCATCATCATCATCATCAGAGGTACCATCCACTGAGTGTTTACTATGTTCCAGGCACTGTGCTTTACATGCACTCTTTTACACTTTTTTATTTTTATTGTGGTAAGAACATTAAACATGAGATCTACCCTCTGAAATTTTTAAGCATACCATACGTTATCGCATTTTCCCATTTCATCCCCACAACCTCTGAGAGAGTACTTTTATTGTTCCCATTTTACAAGTGAGAGAACAGAGCGAGGCTCATAGAGATTAACCAAGTCGCTCAAGGTCACTCGTCAAGGATATGAAAAAAGCAGGAGTCAAACCAGGAAAATTACTCCAGGACCCATTCTCTCAAAAAAGGGCAAGGGATCTGGCTTTCACTGTTTTACAGATGAGAAAACAGACTCAACCAGGATCACATGGCTGGTGAGTAGGACTTAGCTCATGTTCTCCACACGATCCTGCTTCCCCAGAGCCTTCCCGCCCAGGCCTTTACCTCTGACCCCTGACACTTGATCCTGGGGTTCCGGGGCAGCAGGAGGGCCTGGGTGCCTGGCCAAGACCCACTCGCAGGCCTTTCAGCCCAGGGCAGCTCACATGCCCCCCTTTCCTCCCTTTAGTGCAAGACCCAGGGCTGCACCTCATCTCCTCCCCACAGTTTAACTGCCTCTTCTAATCCACCATTTTTGGATTCAGAAGCCTGGCTGCAGAGGGGGCCACAGCCACCCGAGCGCCTCCCCTCCAGGGCCTCAGATGCCCGGCACACGGAGCATCCTGCTTCAAGGGCTTCCCTCCAGATCAGGCAGGGAAACGTTCAGGGCACACACAGCAGGGCTCCTAACACGTACAGGGCACTTGAGACATCATTAGGAACCGAAGATAAATAAATGTCCCCTTGGGCTCCGGTCCTTGGTTTCTATGCTGGAGAATAGAGCTTACCAAACCCCTCCTCGCCTGCTGATTGCCACTGTGGAGCAGGCCATGTGGAAAACTCCCTTTTCCTAGGCGTTAGGATTCTAGGGTCCTTGTACCAGCTGTGTGGCCTTGCTCAAGTCACTGCACCTCTCTGGTGTTCAGTTATCCCTTCTGTAAACTACCTGGACCGCCTTCCTCATGAGGTGAGAAGCCCGTAAGATCCAGATGTGACAGCTCTCTGTAAGCCAGGAAGCCGCACAGACAAGAGATGAAAATGCTATTATCTGCCCACCTTTGGAGGGAGGTAAGGAAAACGTTTGGGACCAAAATTTTACATACAAATTGTCAAAACCAGACAGGCTTTTAAGCAAGTATCTAATCTGTTTTCCCAGCTATGCTTCCCAGAGCTCAAGGCTCCTCAGAAATGCCACAAGGCAAAGCAGAGCCCCAGTACACCTGAAAATGATGCAATGTTGTCAATCAACTATACTTCAATTAAAAAAAAATAAGCAGCTGGATGGGCTTCCCATAAAGTTGTACTGGAAGCAATTGCAGGGCCACCTCCTGGGTGACTGACCTGTGCAGTCGCGCAAGGCCTTGTGCTTAGAAGGGCCCCACTCTTGATGTGATGCTCTGCTGTCACCATCTTGAAATCTTTACGAATTTTTTTAACAAGGGCTCCCGCACTTTCATTTTGCACCGGGCCCTACAAATGCCATAGGCCGTCCTGACTAGGAGCTCCAGGACCAAATAAACAAACAAAAACCAGGTTTGGTCCCTTCAGTGTCCAGACGGGGAAACTGCAACAGCAGCCCAGAGAAAGGAAGGGATTTGCCCAAGGTGACACTGCCCTTTGCCCAGGAGCTGGGATGAAGTCCCCAGCATTCCTGACTCAGCTCTGTGCTGCTCCCCTGTGCCTCTCAGTGTGTACCTCTGTCACTCCCTTACTGGCGCTGATGAGCAAAGTGAGGCCCATGGAGACCTGTTTGATGTCACACAGCTGTGACAGCAGTGGTGATGATGGGATTGAGCTACACTTTTGACCCTTTAAATCCTTTTTGGAATAGGAAAGAGCGTGGGTAAGATGACACATACATACATACCTGCATATGTACACAAAGAATCTAAATGGTTCACTTTCAAAATGATAACTGTCGGGCTTCCCTGGTGGCGCAGTGGTTGAGAGTCCGCCTGCCGATGCAGGGGACACGGGTTCGTGCCCCGGTCCGGGAGGAT